GCCCGGCCCGGTCCTAACTGTTGCAGGCATTTGGGGAGTGGATCTGCAGATACCTACCTACCTACCTACCTACATATATATATATATATATATATATATATATATATATATCCTTCTCTCTGTCACTCTACCTCTCAAATAAATGATAAATAAATAAATAAAACCTTTTAACAAAAGGACTCTGTATTACAAATATATGAAACAACCTTTCTGCAGGGGTTAGGGAAAAGGGTTGCTGAGCTGAGTAACTTTGGAAATGAGTGGAGTTTGTAAGACTCACAGCAAAAGACCTGCATAGGAGCACCACACTGTAGTTGGTAAACTTGTTTCCATAGATGTATAGGCCAACAATTCTGCCGCTGCTACAGCTGGAAATTAAGCACCAGGCAAAGGGCTGACAGTCGGTGTGGGTCATGTTTCTCACTTTTCCAGGGCAAGGTGACAGCTAAGCACAGCAGATAGCTGGAATGATCCAGGCGGTCGTGGGTTAGAGTGTTAGGAATCAGTATGGGGCCAGCGCCGCGGCTCACTAGGCTAATCCTCCGCCTAGCGGCGCCGGCACACCAGGTTCTAGTCCCGGTCGGGGTGCCGGATTCTGTCCCGGTTGCCCCTCTTCCAGGCCAGCTTTCTGCTGTGGCCAGGGAGTGCAGTGGAGCATGGCCCAGGTGCTTGGGCCCTGCACCCCATGGGAGACCAGGAAAAGCACCTGGCTCCTGGCTCCTGCCATCGGATCAGCGTGGTGCGCCGGCCACAGCGCGCCGGCCACGGCGGCCATTGGAGGGTGAACCAACGGCAAAGGAAGACCTTTCTCTCTGTCTCTCTCTCTCACTGTCCACTCTGCCTGTCAAAAAAAAAAAAAAAAAGGAATCAGTATGGACGCATGGTTAGCATGTTGGCCACCATAGCTGCCGGCTTTGAATTCATAGATTCAACCAATCTCAAACTGAAAATATTTGGGGAAAATTGCGTCTGTACTGAACACGTACAGACTGTTTTTCTTGTTAGGATTCCATACATAATACAGTAAAACAACCATTTACATGGCATTTATGTTGCTTGTTAAGTAGTATGTCTAATCCAGAGATGATTAAAAGCAAAGGGGAGGATATGTGTAGAGTTATATACCAATATTGTGCCATTTTGTATAAGAAAATATAACAGCTGTGAGTTTTAGCATCTGTGGGAGGTCCTGGAATCAGTCTCCATGGATTCCAAGGGACAGCTGTACACACATATTCTTGTATGTATGTATAAATATTCATGAGTGTGTATATATAAAAGGGCTAGTATTTTTTTTAAATATTTATTTATTTGAAAGTCAGAGTTACACAGAGAGAGGAGAGAGAGGAGAGGCAAAGAGAGAGAGAGGTCTTCCGTCCAATGGTTCACTCCCCAGATGGCCACAACGGCTGGAGCTGTGCCAATCAGGAGCCAGGAGCTTCTTCCGGGTCTCCCACATGGGTACAGGGGCTCAAGGACTTGGGCCATCCTCTACTGCTTTCCCAGGCCATAGAAGAGAGCTGGATCAGAAGTGGAGCAGCTAGGTCTCGAACCGATGCCCATATGGGATGCCGGCACTTCAGGCCAGGGCATTAATAACAGGGTTAGTATTCACCATAGACTTTCTGTCTCTGTCACTTGAGAGGGGGCATAGAAGCAATAACATCCTAGTGGGGCCAGCGCTGGGGTGCAGTGGGTTAAAGCCCTGGCCGGAAGAGCCAGCATCCCATATGGAGTGAACCAGCAGATGGAAGACCTCTCTCTCTGTCTCTACCTCATTCTGTAACTCTGTCTTTCAAATAGATAAAATAAATCTTTAAAAAAAAATCCTAGTAGCAATGAGAACAGGTGGTGCCCAAATCCAGGTTTCTAAAGCTGTATTTATTCACTTATATGAAAGGTAGATTTACAGAAAAAGAGAAAGAAAACTTCCATCTGCTGGTTCATTCCTCAAATATCAACAACAGCCAGGAGCCAGGAACTCCACCCTGGTCTCCCACATGGGTGGCAGGGACCCACGTACTTGAGCCATCATCTGCTGCCTCTCAGGTGCATTAGCAGGAAGCTGGATCAGAAGCAGAGGTGGGGCATGATCCCAGACACTCTGATATGGAAAGTGGCAGTTTAACCCGCACCACCAAACCTGCCCTATGCACCGTGGTGTCTGACGCCATTTTCCAATAAAAGGAACCAGGATTCCTTGGGAAAATGACTTGTCCTAAGTCCAGAGCATCCTGTGCAGAAGTTAAGGAGCTCCTCAATAAAACACAGTGATAGGAGTATGTAAAAAGGGCTATTACCACCAACTGAAAGAGTTCTCAGTGGCTAAAATAGGAATTGACTAACAATCAATAAGGCAGTATTGGTTTATAACCCAAAATATAAAGTAAATATCCATGAATCTGCTCTAATATAAATAAACAGGGGAGAAGAGACAAACCTCCTGCTTTGACAAACCCAAATGGTTTACGTAGAAACCCTGTCTTTAAGGAAATGGAGCATCACTCCCCACTCCTGCAGTGTGGACTGTGAGTGGTGGCTTCCTGTCGCAGAGTACACTATGAAAGGAGGGGAAACCCCGATAAACACCTCTCCAGCCAGGTGATCAAGATGAGTGTCAACAGTGATATTTGTGTTGACAGCATGTATCCCTGATATGATGTGATGAAAATGGCACATAACCTCTGCAGTCTTCCTCCCCAAAGCCCAGCACTCCCGTCTAATGGTGAGCAAAACATGAGACAAATCTCAACTGAGGGTCACTCTACAAAGTACCTGGCCAGTGTGCCTCAAGTTGTCAAGGCCTCAAAAACAGAAAGCCTGGAAAGCCATCAAAGCCAAGAGCAGCCTAAAGAGAAATGCAGACTGAGTATAAGGATGGCCTCTAGGTGCACCTGCTGTTCCTGGGGCAGAAGGCTCAGGTGAGGTGCGTGCACTAACAGGCACCCACACACAGCCTAGGGAAGTGTGTCCATGGGTCTAGCTGCAGCTCCCACCAATTTTCTTGACCTCCTGTGGGCCTCGTTTTTTTTTTTTTTTTTTAATTTTTTGACAGGCAGAGTGGACAGTGAGAGAGAGAGACAGAGAGAAAGGTCTTCCTTTGCTGTTGGTTCACCCTCCAATGGCCGCTGCGGCCGGTGCACCGCACTGATCCGATGGCAGGAGCCAGGTACTTCTCCTGGTCTCCCATGGGGTGCAGGGCCCAAGCACTTGGGCCATCCTCCACTGCACTCCCTGGCCACAGCAGAGAGCTGGCCTGGAAGAGGGGCAACCGGGACAGAATCCGGCGCCCCAACCGGGACTAGAACCCAGTGTGCTGGCACCGCTAGGCAGAGGATTAGCCTAGTGAGCCGCGGCGCCGGCCATGGGCCTTGTTTTTATCCTTTTTTCTTTCTTTTTTTTTTTTTTAAGAGAGGGAGAGAAGGCTGGCACTGCAGCTCAATAGGCTAATCCTCCGCCTGTGGCGCCGGTACCCCGGGTTCTAGTCCCGGTGGAGGTGCTGGATTCTGTCCTGGTTGCTCCTCTTCCAGTCCAGCTCTCTGCTGTGTTCTGGGAGGGCAGTAGAGGATGGCCCAGGTCTTTGGGCCCTGCACCCGCATAGGGGATGGGGGGAGGCACCTGGCTCCTGGCTTCGGATCGGCACAGCACACCGGCCGTAGCGGCCATTTGGGGGATGAACCAATGGAGGGAAGACCTTTCTCTGTGTCTCCCTCTCTCACTGTCTAACTCTGCCTGTCGAGAGAGAGAGAGAGAGAGAGAGAGAGAGAGAGAGAGAGGGAGAGAGAGAGAAGGAGACAGAGAGAAAAGTCTTCCATCCGATGGTTCACTCCCCAGTTGGCCGCAACAGTCAGAGCTGCGCTGATCCAAAGCCAGGAGCCAGGCTATTCTTCTGGGTCTCCCACATGGGTGCAGAGGCCCAAGGACTTGGGCCATCTTCTACTGCTTTCCCAGGGCACAGCAGAGAGCTGGATCGGAAGTGGAGCAGCCAGGACTCAAACCAGTGCCCAGATGGGATGCCAGCGCTTCAGGCAGTGGCTTTATCCCCTACACCACAGCACCAGCCTCCCACTTACCTCTTAGTAAACACTAATAATTTACTGTTGTACTGTGCATGATTCATATATATATACTTCCCTTAATTTAACATAAGAAGACTTGAGAATAATTTACATACCATCAAGCTCACCCATTGGCAGTGTGTATTTCAGTGACATATCCATAAATCCGTACACGTGTGTACTTTCAGAACATTTTAATCACCTCCCCAAATTCCTCTAAGCCCATCTGCATTCAGTCCTGCTCCCACCTCAGCCCCAAGTAAGCTGCTTTGTGTTTATATAGTTTTGCCCAGTATAATTTTTTAAAAATTTGGTAATCAGAGGTGAGCATTTGGTGTAACAGTCAAGATGCCACCTGGGACCCTGATCCCGTAGCGGACTCTGAGTTCAGCCCTGGCAGTGCTCTCCACTCCAGCCTCCCGCTAACGGGCACCTGGGAGGCAGCAGGTGATGGCTCTAGTGATTAGGTCCCTGCCACCTATGTGGGAGACTCCCGCTGAGTTCTTGTCTCCTGGTTCCAGCTTTGCCAGAATCGGGGAAGTGAATCAGCACAGGGGAGCTTTGTGTTTGTCGTCTCTCTCTGCCTTTCAAATACATAAAATTAAAATCCGGCAATGAAAGGAGATTCTCAAGATAGATGCTTTTTAGGTACAAACAGGCTTAAAAATGATCGCAACCCTACAGTTCAAAAGTGGGCTAGTTTTAAATAAAGGCGGCCATCATCGTTATCACGCGTTCATAATGCGAAAACAAATTTTCTAAGACGAAAATTGAAGTGAAACTCTAGTCTGGGGATGGTAGAACCTGGACGGTGGGCCAGGTCAGTTACAGGCTCTGGCCACGCCCACCACACCTGCGCCCCCGCCCACGCAGGGGTCGGGCGTCCGCGCCCCACCCTGCCAAGCCTTCCTGTTGCGCAGGCGCAACGCTCCCTCTTCCTACCGGATCAGGCGGGGCTCGCAGCCCGATCTCGCAGCATCGATCGCGGTCGCTCGGCGATTGCTTCTGTCTGTTGTTTAGCTATGGCGCGCGCCGGGCCACACAGAGGCTGCTGGAACGCGAGTCGGGGTCTCGCTCAGTGCTGAGCGCCGAGCGGGGCCTAGTGGGCTATGGAGAAGCCCGGCTCCTTGGCGACGGGCTTGCGGTGCCAGAGCTGGTGCTTGCGGCGGGTGGGGATGAACGTCGAGTGGCTGCTGCTAGAGGACGGGCGCGAGGTGAGGGGGAGGGGTCCCGTTGAAGCGGAGGAAGGGGTTGAAGGAAGCCGGGGGGCCGGGTGCGGGGGTGGGGAAGGGAGCTGGGGGCCGGGAGGGGAGCGAGGCGTGACGGGTGGGTCCTGGGAGGGAGAAGGGAGAAGGGGGTTCTGGTGCCGATGGTTGAGGAGTCCGAAGTGGGAAGGACCGGGGCGAACTGGGGATCGAGTAGAGGACGGGAAGAAAGTCGGGGTGGGCTCGAGGGGAGACCCGCGGAGTTACGAGACGGGCCCTCCGGGGCCGAGGGCAGCCGAGCCAGCAGGTGCCGCTCCGAGAGGCCTGGCCCGGGGGGCGGGCTGAGCTGGAGGCCGGCGAGCGGGCAGCCGCCGTGCGGAGGGGCCCAGCGGGAGGGGGCGTGCGGCGGCTGAGGAGAAGGCCGGGGCCGGGGTCTCACGGAGGAACTGTCGCGGGGCTGGGGCGGACGCAGGGCAAGGGCGCCGACTTTGTCGAGTTTCTTTCGAAGATGATCCCGAGTTTGGGATTGTGCCCCTTAAAATACTCAGACTTTAATGGAGAACCGTCTTCCTTCTTTTCAACTTTTTTATTGGGGGGGGGGTGTTGGCGTTTGGGGATGGATCCCGTTTATCCCGTGACTCTGGGTGCCGCCGAGTGGCATCCCCCTGAGGTGGGACAGGGGTAGGGATTCAGAATTCTCCCCGGAGGTGGCTGGTGTTTGTTAATAAAGGCATCAGCGTCAAATTAAAAAAAAAATTTTTTTTTTTTTTTGAGGAAAGGCAAGGCACGATTCCTGCTGGCGGCCGCTAGCTCTGGGTAATGGGCCTAGCCAGGCCGAGGGAATCGCTAGAGTTCGATTGCTGTCAGTTTGGGAAGGAGAACCGGGGTGACTGGGGGCCCCCTGGACTTTGGAGATAATACGTATGAAAGGTTCACTTGGCAGTAATACTGGTGATAGGTTATTATGCCTTAAAGACACTTCGATTATTAGGTATGTTTAATTAGTTTTTTTTTTTTTTTTAAGCTAGATAGTCTTAATTTAGTCTTCCAAATGTTTGTTGAACGCTGAGAGGAACAGATGCCAACTTGTGCCCTCAAAGAACTCAGGCCGGGCATTGTGGCGCAGGCCGTTAAGCCAGGACCTGCCGCCATACAAGCCCCCTGTTTGAGTCCCGCCTGCGTCATTGCCATCCAGCTCCCTGCTAATGTGCCTGGCCAAAGTGCTGGGGCCTTAGCCACCCACATGGGAGACCCAGATGGAGTTCTGGGCTCCTGGCTTATATCTGGCCCAGCCACAGCCCCAGCAATTGTGGCCATTTGGGGGAGTGAACCAGCAATGGAAGATATTCTCTTTCTCCCTCTCTCAGTCTGTAACTCTGCCTTTCAAATAAAATAAATAAATCTTTTTTAAAAAATTGTTCTGGCTTGTGGGGAAAGGGGATTGGCACAGGACAGCAGTCTGAGAACAACCTGGGGGCTGTGTGATGGAGTGCTGGATTATTTGCTCTGTGCTAGAGGGGTGATCCTTCCAGTCCTGCAGGGATTCAGTCCGGCCTTAAATGTTGCCAGAGGAGGGGGTAGCAGAGGGTGACTTTGTATGCTGTGCTTTGGTTAAGATCAGCAAGACCTCTCTGCCTCCAAGTGTCTCTGCTGTCCAGGTGTTAGTTCTGGGAGTCACATTAGGCATTCATTCCTGTAGCCTGAGCCCTGCTGCCCTTTCTCTGCATGGCCCTTTCCAAAGGCATATACCTTTGAGAAACTTAACCGAGTAAGACACTAGCACCTGAGTAATGTAGTTATACACAAAATTAACTTACACGGTCACTTGTTTTTGTGTACACATAGAATTTATTTCCTATACCTATTCAATTTGTTTTTTATTTGAAGGGCAGAGAGAGACAGACAGATCTTCCATCTACTGGTTCACTCCCCAAATGTCAGCAACAGCCAGAGCTGGGCCGCACCAAGACCAGAGGCTGGAACTCAGTTCAGTACTCCTGTGTAGGTGGCAAGCTCCTACGTACTAGAGTCATCACCTGCTGCCTTCCAGGGTATTCACTGGCAGGAAGCTGGAATCAGAAGTGGAGTCAGAGGCCAGCACTGTGGCGGAGCTGGTAAAGCTGCCACCTGGAGTTGCCGGCATCCCATATGGGTGCCAGTTTGAGTCCTGGCTGCTCTACTTCCGATCCAGCTCTCTGCTATGGCCTGAGATAGCAGAAGATGGCCCAAGTCCTTGGGTCCCTCTACCCCTGTGAGAGACCCAGAAGAAGCTCCTGGCTTCAGATCGGCCCAACTCCAGCCGTGGTGGCCATCTGGGGAGTGAGCCAGGAGGTGAAGACCTCTCTCTCTCTCTGCCTTTGCCTCTCTGTAACTGTCTTTCAAATAAATAAATCTTAAAACAAAACTGGAGCCAGGCAGGACAGGAACCCAGGCCATCTGATATGGGATGTGGGCATCCCAAGCAATGTTTAAACCCTGGGCCAGATACCTGTCCACACATAACTGCATCAAGACCTTGCACATTCATTGCTCTTTCACACCTAACTGTAGAATAGTCAGGTGTTAACTCATTCCTTTAGGTTTAATTGCTATTGATTAGTTTATTTCTTCTCCAGAATAGCTCAGTAGCACTGGAGTTTTGGGGCAGTGGGATGGGCAGAAAGAAAGTACCTGTAGCAAGGGCAGGAAGACTAAAGCACTCCTGGACATATTCTAAACTTGGGTAGATTAGTGGGGCCACTCCTGTGGGGGAAAGACTGTACAAACTAAGTGGTAGCACTGGAGTTTGGGGGCAGTGGGATGGGCAGAATGAAAGTACCTGTAGCAAGGGCAGGAAGACTATAAAGCACTCCCGGACATATTCTAAACTATTGGGTAGATTAGTGGGGCCACTCCTGTGGGGGAAAGACTGTACAAACTAAGTGAATGGTAAAAACATCTTGGGAAGACTTAACTCAGGACCCATGTGGAGGAGAGGCCCTCCAGGCCTGGCTACCTGCAGGATCAGGTCAAAGGCAATAGCTGGGGCATGGCCTATAGTGTGTGTGAAGAGAAATCTGAATCAAAGCTAGGAAATGAAGTCTTGGTGTAATGGCTCTCCAACCACAGCACAAGCTGGTTTGCATAAGACTTCAGGGGGTGTGCTGCTACATTTGTAACAAAGATTGGTTCCCCCCTTTCCAGTTCCCCTCAAATTCTCAGGGTTCCTCCCATTTTATTGAAGGGACCGTTGCAAATTATCTGGATGGATGTCTTTAAACTTCTTAAGTTAATCCAAAGACTTGTGGCGAAAAAATAACTAGAGTTATTGCCCATGAGCTAGTTCCCAGGCCGTGTAAATACCTAGGGTGTGGGAAAGCCACAGCGTCTTTTTTCCCCTTTTCTTCTTTAGTTTGATTTTCATGAAGCTTCCTCCCCTAAGGGAAAGAGACAATTCTCTTTTCTAGAGAATTCACTGGTCTTCTGGATGCCATGCCTAGGAGGAAAGAGATCGAAGTAGTCAAGGTGGGCAAGGTTAGGTTGATCTAGATCAATAGTGTCATCAAGTACAAACACTTGTGAAGCTGTGGTCGATGGGAACAACGTCCAGTGTGAATTGGCACTTTGTTGACACTCAGTTTCCATAGGAAATTTAGTTTTATGTTTTTGTTTTCAGGTTGTTACTCATTTTCATTTTGTTTGAAAGGCAGAACTCTGTGCTGGTTCCCTCCCCAAATGCCTGCCACAGTCAGGACAGGGCCAGGCTGAAGCCAGGAACCTGGAATTCCATCTGGATTCCGAGTGCCAGGGCAGGAACCCAAGTACTGGCGCTGGCATCCTCTGCCTCAGGATGTGCATTAGCAGGAAGCTGAATCGGAGGCGGAGTAGCTGGACCTGAGGCCAGGCTCCCTGACGCAGGATGTGGGTGTCAGATGGCGCAGGCAGCAACTCAGGCTGCTGCTGCACCAAGTACCCACCCCTCATTTTATGTTTTGAGTAGTGCTAAGATTTCTGGGCAAGCTGATTGCACTCTTAACTGTAGTGTAGGTGAAACATCAGCATACAGCAAATTCTCGCACCAGACAGCGAAGGGAAAGATGGAAAATAATATCTCCTTCTTTCTCTAGACTCAAAGTATATAGGAGGCAATTTCAGAAAAAGGTACCGTCGTCTCCTACCTTTCCTGTACTGTTTGCCCCAGCTACCCGTGGTGGCAGTCTGTTAAAATGGAATCTGAAATACTTCTTCTCTTAGAAAAGAAGCCACCTAACTGGAGAGTGTTGTAGAATATGGATGACAGGTAAATTCTTTTTTTTTTTTTTAAAGATTTATTTATTTGAAAGTTACAGTTATATATAGAGAGAAGGAGAGACAGAGTTTTTCCACCCGATGGTTCATTCCCCAGATGGCTGCAACTGCCAGGGCCAGGCTAGGTGAAGCCCAGAGCCAGGAACTTCTTCTGAGTCTCCCATGTGATTAACAGGGACCCAAACACTTGGACCATATTCTGCTGGTTTTCCAAGGCCATTAGCAGGGAGCTGGATTGGAAATGGAGCAGGGGCCGACTCTGTGATGCCATAGGTTAATCCTCCACCTGTAGCACTAACATCCCATATGGGTGCTGGTTCAAGTCCCAGCTGCTCCTCTTCCAATCCAGCTCTCTGCTATGGCCTGGGAAAGCAGTGGAAGATGGCCCAAGTGCTTGGGCCCCTGCACCTGTGTGAGAGACCCAGCGAAAGCTTCTGTCTTCTGGCTTTGGATCGGTGCAGCTCTGGCCATTGCAGCCACTTGAGGAGTGAACCAGCAGAAGGAAAACCTTTCTCTGTCTGTCCCTCTCACTGTCTGTAACTCTGCCTCTCAAATAAATAAATAAAATCATTAAAAAAAAAAAAAATGTGCTGGAGTTGCAGGCAGCTGCTTAACCCTCTAGGTCACAATGCCAAGCCCTATGGGTAAATTCTTTTTTTTTTTTTTTTTTTTTTTTTTTAAGATTTATTTATTTGAAAGGCAGAGGCAGAGAGACAGAGAGGTCTTTTATCCGCTGGTTCACTCCCCATTTGGCTGCAACGGCCGGAGCTGCACCAATCCGAAGACAGGAGTCAGGAGCTTCTTCTGGGTCTCCCATGCGGGTGCAGGAGCCCAAGGTCTTGGGCCATCTTCCACTGCTTTCCCAGGCCATAGCAGAGAGCTGGATCAGAAGTGGAGCAGCCGGGACTCGAACCGGTGCCCATATAGGATGCCGGCACTGCAGGCGGCGGCTTTACCTGTTATGCCACAGTGCTGGCCCCCAGATAAATTCTTAAATATTCCATTTTGAAAGAAAATATGGGGGCTGGCACTATGGTATAGCTGGTTAAAGCCCCAGCCTGTAGTACAGGCATCCTATATGGACACTGGTTCAAATCTGCTGCTCCACTTCTGATCCAGCTCTCTGCTAATGCATCTGGGAAAGCAGTAGAAGATGGCCCAAATCCTTGGGCCCCTGCACCCATGTGGGAAACCTGGAAGAAGCTCCTGGCTCCTGGCTTCAGCCCCAGCCCATTGTTGTGGCCATTTGGAGAGTGAACCAGTAGATGGAAGACCTCTCTCTGTCTCTACCATCTATGTTAACTCTACATTTCAAATAAATCTTTAAAAAGAAAAGAAAATATGTATTAATTCAGGGGAACTTCTTTAATTAGTGAAATTGTAGCAAACCATCAACTGAAAAACTTCAGAATAAGAGTTTTGGAGAATCCCCGCAACATTTTAAAGGAAAACAAATCAGATTATGAGAGTTCCTCGTTACTACTTTGTTTTCTTGTGATAATCCAATTTCCAACTTCTGACGTATAAAACCCGCATCCTGGGCCAGTGCCGCGGCTCACTAGGCTAATCCTCCGCCTGTGGCACTGGCACATCGGGTTCTAGTTCCGGTCGGAGCGCCGGATTGTGTCCCGGTTGCCCCTCTTCCAGACCAGCTCTCTGCTGTGGCCCGGGAGTGCAGTGGAGGATGGCCCAAGCACTTGGGCCCTGCACCCCATGGGAGACCAGGAGAAGCACCTGGCTCCTGGTTTCGAATCAGCGCAGTGCCCGGCCACAGCGTGCCAGCCACAGTGACCATTGGAGGGTGAACCAATGGTAAAGGAAGACCTTTCTCTCTGTCTCTCTCTCTCTCTCACTGTCCACTCTGCCTGTAAAACAAACAAACAAAAACTCGCATCCTGGAGTTTAGCAGGACCCCCAAGCAAGTTGTCTTTATTCTGTCCGTTCACTAGGCTAATCCTCCACCTGCAGCGCACCCCGGGTTCTAGTCCTGGTTGGAGCGCCAGATTCTGTCCCGGTTGCTCCTCTTCCAGTCCAGCTCTCTGCTGTGGCCCGGGAGGACAGTGGAGGATGGCCCAAGTGCTTGGGCCCTGCACCCGAATGGGAGACCAGGAGCACCTGGTTCCTGGCTTCGGATCGGCGCAGCACACTGACTGTAGTGGCCATTTGAGGGGTAAACTAAAGGAAGGAAGACCTTTCTCTCTGTCTCTCTCTCACTGTCTAACTCTGGCTGTTAAAAAAAAAAAAAAGATAAAGTGCCTGCTTATGATGTTCATATTCTAGTAAAGGGGAAGGGAAAAGTAAAACAAGATAATTTTGGATCATGGTAACTGCATGCTAATAACATGAAGAAATACAATGGGGGAGGGGAGCAGATAGCAACAAGACCTGAGGCGCTGAAACTTGAAAGGTGACAAAGCACCGCATAAAGATCTGAGAAGTGAGTGCCCCAAGCCAAGTGGACAAGGGAGAAGGCTCCCAGGTCAGTGGATGTTGGAGCGGGAGGTGACAGAATGAAGAGAAGGCCTGATGGCTGAAACAACTAGCGTCTGGGCTGTGCATGGCACTAAGGGAAAGGCATGAAGGCGGTCAGGACATTGGCGGCTTTACGGCTTTGGGAAGAAGTTTGGATCATTGAAAGATTTTAAAGGAAGAAAGGAAGTTACCTGATTTAAAGTTCTTATTACCACTTCAGCCGGTGTGTGTGTGAAGAACAGAGTTAAGGAGGATGAGAACAGGAACAAGAAGCCCAGTGGTTTGGACTTGGGTAGGGGTCATGGGGATAGAAATGAGTAGGCTGAGATGTGTTTGAGTCACTGCCATAGAATCGCTGCCAGTTGACATCTGGGGCTGAGGAACAGATCGATCAAAGAGGGCTTGTGGGTTTGGGGCTGAGCAGTTTGTATAGATGGCAGTGTCGGTTACTGAGATGAGAGTTTGTGGAAACCTAATAGATTAGGTCAGAGAGAGTCACGGTCCTCAGTCTGAGGGACAGAGGAAAACAGGCGTGAATCTGAAGATTTTAAAATCGATAAAGAGTAGTTTTTCAAAAACCACAGGTTTTAATTTAATGTTGCCAGCTACGTTTACAATGTGGATCATTAAGGAGGTGGTTTATGCACTGAGAACAGCAAGCATGGAATTCTAAGCCTAGATGACAGAAGAGTTTCACTTCCCACCTTCGCTGGGCTGTGTGAACCAGACAGGTCAGTCAGGAAAGCATGACAGTTGGGAATTAGCGTTCTTTTCAGCCTTGTCCCTGTGGGAGACAGAGGACTTGGACTCAGTGCAGAAACTCGGATTGGATTATGACTGAGGCTACACTCAGACTGTTTAGTAGAAGCTTTCTTGAGAGCTTTGTCTTTGGCTACATCCCATTTCAGTATATTTGTGTCTTGGATGAAGGTACAGAAAGCATATCAATTTGGTGAATGATTTAAAGCTGCAAGGAATATTGAGTATGTCTGATCTGATGGCGGATTAAAAATCAGAAAAGTCTTGACAAGCCGGTGTGATAGGCTGAACTAACAAGATGAAATTTAATAGGGATCAATGTAAGGTCCTGCACTGGAATCCAGATTTTTCCAACTAGTCAAGTACAGGCTGGAAGAAACATGATTTAGCATAGCAGTTCTTGGGGGAGGGGAAACATCTCTAAGTTTGAGGATATCCTTCCAGGGCACTGGATCTGCTTTGAAAGCTAATGCCATTTATATGCTGCAGTGGTAATATCAAGAACTGGGAAAGTGATGCTTGGCCTTGATTATGTAATGGAAATTAAGTTTATTTTTCTTAATATGGCATCCAGGTGTCGCTCCCCCTCTTCGTGGAGGAACGACACTAAACCCTGCCTAGGCTTCATATCCGAGTCACGGCACCATTATGCCGCTCCCCCTCTTCGTGGAGGAACGACACAGGACCCTGCGCTGTTCTTTCGTCTGCTCGGCCCTCCCCGGGTTTGCTGCTGGTTCTTCCCAGGTTGGCTACTGTCCCTTCCACCTCCGTGGAAGGGCAGTTCCCCCTGGCCACATTCCCCACTTCCGCAGGGGAGCGGCGCACTGCCAGCCGGCTCTCTCGGGGGCTGCACAGGTGTTCCCCTTAGATGTTCCTGGTGCATGCCGTCTCTCTCCTCCTTTATAGTCCTCCGCCAATCCCAACTCGGCTGCCCACACGCCGAGTACGCTGCTCTCCTCCAATCAGGAGCGAGTCCTACAGTTTATTGGCTGAACTGGAGGCACCTGTGTAGAAGCTGTTTTCTTCTCTCCCAGCGCCATATTGTGGGAGAGCAGATGCATAGAATAAGTCTTAATTCCAGTAACTCAGTCTAGTCCGGGTTGCTCCCCACATCCAGGAATAAAGATAAGCTAGGAGTCCTTTCACAGATCAATCAGAATGACAGAGATTCAAACCCGTACATTGGAGGAAGGTTAAAGTAACTAGGTTCCTGAGCCAGGAAGAGAGAAGACTTGGCAGATAGCTGTGACTTGGAAAGGGAGTTGGGGATTTTCTGATAGTGCCCAGGACAGAGCCTCAGCCAATGGATGGAATGTATAGGGAGAAAGGACCACTGGAAAATCAGGGGGCCTGTCTCATCTAAACGCTGTGGTTCTTGGCTGTGTTTTAGATTTGTTGATTGGGATGTGTGGAAATAATTCCTTAATGTCATGGGTGATTGAACCAGATGACCTTTCCAGGACCTCCTAACCTTTACATTCCATGGTTAATCCCTTTCAGCTTCTTCTTTTTGTAACTTCTTTCCTTTTTCTGTGTGCTGGCTTTGTGGCAGCTGAAGAGGAAATCGCCGAGGATCTATGTAGGTTTTGCAGGAATCCGGGTTTCGTAGGTCAGGATCTGTGTACCACACTAGTTGATAAGCTTGTAGAGGGCCTCCCTATTCCGCATAATGATTGATTGTGTCTCTTCATTGTTGTTACCTTCCTAGGTGTCTCTGGGACGAGGATTTAGTGTCACATACCAACTGGTGTCAAAAGTCTGCCCTTTGATGATTTCCAGAAAGCACTGTGTTTTGAAGCAGAATCCTGAGGGCCAGTGGACAATTATGGACAACAAGGTACAGGAAATCACAGAAAGAGGACTAAAGATTTTTAAAATTTTTAATTTATTATTAATTTTTTTGCATAGATAATTTATGAAGCAAAATGCAAACGGTTTACCTGCTGCCCTCCCACCCCATTCTCTTTCCCAGAGGCAACTACTGCTCTGTTTTGCTAGAGATTAGATGATGCTAAAATAATTTCCCATGACTTAGATTGAAGTTGGTGCCCTTAAAGTGAACATTTGCGTTGGGGGCCGTAGGTCCTATTCCAGAAACTAGATTAAATTGCTGTGGGAATTGACCCTTTTGATGCAAGATCCAGAAACCCTAGAATCTTCTGCAGCTTTTGGAGTTCACCAGAGGGAGGAGAAAGAAAGTGAGCTGATTGCATTAAGCTCCTTCCTTTCCCCACTGCTTTAAATCAGAGCAAACTCCCATCCCCCTACTTGACCTGTTTTTCACTTTTTTTATGTTTATTTTATATATTTTCATCTACTTGAGCAGCAGAGAAACAGAGACCGACAAATCCAAAGAGACAGTGGGTTATTTTCCATCTGCTGGTTCACTCCCCAGATGTCTACAACTACTAGGCCCTAGATTGCCACAACAGCTAGCGCCAGACTGAAACCAGTAGCTCTGAACACCAGCCAGGTCTCCCACCTCAGTGGCAGGGGCCCAGGCAATTGAGCCATCATTTGCTGCCTTTCATGATGCGTTAGGTATCAAGTAGGTGCTTAACCTGCTGCCTGCTGTACCACAATGCCTGCTGTTTTCATATTGTTCATTCTGAGGGAGATTTCTTTTGAATAAAGGGTTTTTCTGCTTTTAAAAAAAAATTGAAAACCACTAGTCTAATGGTGAATTTACTGAAGGAGGTAAAGTAGTATATAGAACTCAGCAATTAGGAAGTAGCTAAAGTGCAGGTGTACAATGTATTCGTGTATACAGTGTATCTGTCATTTCAATGAAGTTTCTTCAGACAACCGTTCACACTACTTCACTGCTCTAGTTGGAAGGAACCAGGATATCCAACTTGCTTGCCCAGCAGCCTCATTTTGTGTGGAATAAAATTACTAGATTGGGGCAAGTGTTTTCCCACATCCCTTTATCAGAGGACCCGGGTCTGAATCCCGGCTCTGGTCACCATTCCAGCTTCCTGATAGTGTGCATCCTGGAAGCAGTAGGTGATGGCTCAAGTTGTTAGGTTCTTGCCACCCGTGTGAGAGACATTTATTGACTTGTGGCTCCTAGCTTTGTCCTGGTCCTGCCCTAGTTGTTTTGTGCATTTGGGGAGTAAACCAGTGGATGGGAGCTTTGTCTGTCTGTCTCTGTATGTCTCTCTCACATACAGAGCGGCGCTGCGGCTCAATAGGCTAATCCTCCGCCTGTGGTGCCGGCACACCGGGTTCTAGTCCCGGTCGGGGTGCCAGATTCTGTCCCAGTTGCCCCTCTTCCAGGCCAGCTCTCTGCTATGGCCAGGGAGTGCAGTGGAGGATGGCCCAAGTCTTTGGGCACTGCACCCGCATGGGAGACCAGGAGAAGCACCTGGCTCCTGCCTTCGGATCAGTGCGGTGCGCCGGCTGTAGCGTGCCAGCCGTGGCAGTCATTGGAGGGTGAACCAACGGCAAAGGAAGACCTTTCTCTCTGTCTCTCTCTCTCTCTCACTGTCCACTCTGCCTGTCAAAAAAAAAAAAAAAAAAAAAACAAATAAATAAATGAATAAGTGTTTTTAAAAACCACTAGGTTCTAGCTTTTTCATACCTTCCTGCTCTGGAACTGAATTGGCACTGTGTTAAAGAAGACGGTATAAATGCTAAATAAATTTGCTCAGCACTTTTACCAAGGCAGTATGAGGAGAGTAGAAATTGACATTGAGGGGCCAGCCAGCATTGTGGTGTAAGGGGTTATGTTACCACCTTCAGCCCCAGCATCCCACATGGACGCCAGCTGTGTCCCAGCTGCTCCACTTCTGATCCAGCTCCCTGCTAGTATGCCCGGGGAAGCCGTGAGAAATGGCCCAGGTGCTTGGGCCCCTGCACCCACATGGGAGACCCTGAATAAGCTCTGGATTCCTGGCTTTGGCCTGGCATAGTCCCTGGTGTTGTGGCCATTTGGGTAGTGAACCAGCAGATAGAAGATCACTCTCTCTCTGTCTCTCCCTATCTCTCTTGGTAACTCTACCTTTCAAATAAATAAATCTTAAAAAAAAAAAAAAGAAAAGAGAAATTAGCATTGAGATTATTTAGTTTAATCCCTTATTCTGTGAATATAGATGAACCTGAGGCACAGAGAGAGAAAACATCTTGGCCAAAGCCTTCCATATAACTGGCAAGTGAGTGAATGAACCAGGACTAAGCCTTCCTGCTGTACCCTATTGTCAGATAGCAATAAAGGACGTAAGCAATTGGCTCTACTGGCTTCCTGACTTAAAACAAAACTATAATTGTATTATTATAGAAAATAATTATGTGGCTTGCAGTATTATAGAAGTGGGTTCTCTGCAGCTGCTTTCTTGGACTGTGTGCAGGATGGACATGATCCGTCTCTGAGGCACACAGATTTTGATAGGTTAGGAAGTGTTCTCTGAAGGTCAGCCATGGGGATACAGAAGCAGCCTGTTCCAAAGACAGATCACAGCCATGCTCTGGGGCTGCCCTCCAGGGTTTGCTTTGCACTCTTTCTTCTAGGGCTGTTACCTCTCAGAATAACAAGGAAAAGTAGCTTCCTGATTGTTTCAAGTCTTTTCTGTGCAGTTGTTTTAAACCTCTTAGCTTGGTTTGATTTATTAAAGAAGCTGTGACTGAGATGTCTAATGGAGCAATTTTTTTTTTTTTGACAGGCAGAGTGGATAGTGAGAGAAAGAGACAGAGAGAAAGGTCTTCCTTTGCCGTTGGTTCACCCTCCAATGGCCGCCGCGGCCGGCGCACTGCGGCTGGCGCACCGCACTGATCTGAAGGCAAGAGCCAGGTGCTTCTCCTGGTCTCCCATGGGGTGCAGGGCCCAAGCACTTGGGCCATCCTCCACTGCACTCCCTGGCCATAGCAGAGAGCTGTACTGGAAGAAGGGCAACCGGGACAGAATCCAGCGCCCCAACCGGGACTAGAAACCGGTGTGCTGGCGCCGCTAGGTGGAGGATTAGCCTATTGAGCTGCGGCGCCGGCCTGGAGCAATTCTTACAAATAAACTTCCCTACTTTTTTTTTTTTTTTTTTTTTGGCTTAATAAATGCTCTCCTTCTTTCTGCCATTTCTTGGAGTGGTGCCACCGCAGCCCTCTTCTGGTGATGAGGGATTTGAATTTCAGCTGCAGAATTTATTGTTAGGGTCATGTTTGAAGTCTTTTGCCAAATCTCTTTCAAGGGGTAGCTATTTCTAATAGTCCAAAGCTCAGAGCTACATTCTTTTGTCATAAAAAGATAAAACTCTCATACTGGAATTGCCAGAAACTAAGAGCTTAAGTATAGAATAAAAAATTGCAACAAGTACATTTTGGTTTAAAATTGACTTTAAAGAACCTGAAGTAAAATGATTCTTTTTTTTAATTTATTTATTTGACAGGTAGAGTTACAGACAGAGAGAAAGGTCTTCCTTACGTTGGTTCACTCCCCAAATGGCCGCTACGGCTGGCACTGTGCCGATCCAAAGCCGGGAGCCAGGCGCTTCCTCCTGGTCTCCCATGCAGGTGCCGGGGCCCAAGCACTTGAGCCATCCTCCACTGCCCTCCCGGGCCACAGCAGAGAGCTGAACTGGAAGAGAGGCAACCAGAACTAGAACCCGGTGCCCATATGGGATGCCGGCGCCGCAGGTGGAAGATTAGCCAAATGAGCCACGGCACCAGGCCTATAAAATAATTCTTAAAAACGAAACAAAACTGGGAGGGAGGCTAAACCTGCACACAAAATATACAAATGGTTCTGTGCTTTGTAGGTTGCAATTAATTGGGAAACTCTTCAGATGGTCCATGCTTTCTTTGTATAGGTATCCAGCTCTTTAGGAAATCTGTCATTTCAGAGTTATAATCTGAAATGCTGTAGAGGGTCAGACATGTCTTATGTGAGTGAGCCTTTCCCATTCTCCTCACACCCTCTGCTATTGCTGATCACCTGCTGCTTGGAGATTCCTACCTTGGCCCTTCAGGCTTCGGCATTTGAAGACATTGTTTCTTCTGTGTGAACAAACCTTGCTTATAGTACAGTTCAGCTTCTGCCCGTTCAGCAGCTGGAGTAGTGGTTCTTAACCCTGTTTCCTGTTTTGCCCTTACCTGGTATACTGATGGTAATTCAGTGAAATTTATTTATTTATTTATTTTATTTATTTATTTTTTTGACAGGCAGAGTGGACAGTGAGAGAGAGAGACAGAGAGAAAGGTCTTCCTTTGCCGTTGGTTCACCCTCCAATGGCCGCCGCGGCCGGCGCGCTGCGGCTGGCGCACTGCGCTGATCCGATGGCAGGGGCCAGGAGCCAGGTGCTTTTCCTGGTCTCCCATGGGGTGCAGGGCCCAAGCACCTGGGCCATCCTCCACTGTACTCCCTGGCCACAGCAGAGAGCTGGCCTGGAAGAGGGGCAACCGGAACAGAATCCGGCGCCCCAACCGGGACTAGAACCCGATGTGCCAGCGCCGCTAGGCGGAGGATTAGCCTATTGAGCCGCGGCGCCGGCCGGTAATTCAATGAAATTAAGAACTTCCATCCATGGGGCCAGTGCTGTGGCACAGCAGGTTAAGCTGTCATCTGCTGCTTCGGCAGAAGATGATCCAAAGTTCTTGAGCCTCTGCACCTACATGGGAGACCCAGATGAAGCTCCTGGCTCCTGGCTTCGGCCTGGCCCAGCCTCGGCCATTGTAGCCATTTGGGAAGTAAACCAGCAGATGGAAGATCTCTGTCTTCCTCTCTCTGTCTCTCTTGGTAATTCTGACTTTCAAATTAAAAAAAAAAGCTTCCATCCATCAAAAGAAACCATTAAGAGAGTCAAAGGCAAACTCTGTTTAGATGTTTGCTATCCATAGACCTAATTAAGG